AAAGAAAAAAGGAAACTAAAACCCAGCCCCAGCCCTTCAGAGTGATTAATCCCTGCTAATGATTTACCGATTTGCAGAGAGCGTGTTGTGCATAACTGGATTGTGGGCATTAACACCAGCTCAGAGGCTAAAAATGAAAGTAAGTTTCAAGAGCAATTGACCATTCCTAATTTGAACATGCTATTGATACACTAGGAGGACCCTCATTCCCACCCATAGGCCTAGGGACTGTGATGGGGGTAAATGCAAGGGAAGATCTGTCCCAAAGAGACACTTCACCTTCTACCCCTCCTTCCCTTCACCAAGACTAGGACAAGGAACCTGATATTAGGTAAGTGAGACTGCCTTATTTTTCTTTCTTTCTTTCTTTTTTTTTTTTGGGGGGGGGTACTGGGAATTGAACTCAGGGTCACTTGACTACTGAGCCACATCCCAGCCCTATTTTGTATTTTATTTAGAGACAGGGTCTCACTGAGTTGCTTGGAGCCTCACCATTGCTGAAGCTGGCTTTGAACTCACAATTTTCCTGTCTCAGTCTCCCAAGCCACTGGGATTACAGGTGTGTGCTACCACATCCAGCGAGACTGCCTCTTTCTCCTCTGCCAAAGGCAGCTACATCCCGCCTCCACTGCCCTCCTCTGTTCTAGGTTCTAGAGGGCACAGGAAGGACAGAGGAGGTACCAGACCCCTGAAGGGACTGAGTTTGGAAGGAAGATGTGGGGCTTGAGGGGAGAGCTTTCCAATGGTGATAAGCACTACATATTTGTCTAATTGGCACCCACCTGTACCAAGGCAGCAGGTGGACAAGATGACTCTGGCACCCCCCACTTTCACCACCCAAGACATGGAAACTATAGCAGACAGGACCCCGCCAGGCTCGTCCAGTTAAAAATCACATTCCAGCCCAGAATAAGCAGGGCAGGGATCCCCAGTGGGCGTGGTTGCTCCTGACACCATTCAGCAAGAACTGGCTGGGAGGAGCAGGCAAGTTCTGCTCCAACTGACTCACCCCAGATGGCCAAGGGTACACCGGGACCAAGTCACACTCTCCCTTTCCAAGCTTCCAGTGATTTCATCCCACTTTTCCAAGCAGCCCAACAGAGACCACGCTGCCTGAGGGTCACAGAGAAGAGGAAACTAAGACCGACCCCAGGTCATCCAACAAACTTGAGTCAGGGCCCAGATGAAACCCAGGATGTTTGACTCCCAAGCAAGGTCCCCTGAAAACGTACAATCTGGGGCATGAGGAGAAGACTGGCAGATGGGCAAGGAAGTGGGCTGTGAGTACCACCCCAGCCCAGGCAGCAAGACAGAAACTCAAAACCCACACGGACAAACATCATAAAACTCAGCTCCTGCAGCAGCCCTCCCTGTGGAGCCCTCCTCTCCTCTCTTTACCTCTTCCCAATGCTCCTGATGTGCAAGGACCCTAGGTGGCATGTCCTGGAGCCTCTCCTCCCCCAGCACTGAAAAGGTCTGGGGTCTGCAGCTGCAGCAGACTCTCTCTGCACTTGCCGTCCTCCTGACCAACTGCCCATCTGACAGAAGGGAGCTCTGGGGCTCAGAGACCAAAGCAGCCAGACCCCACTCCCCCCAGGAGACACTGGCCAAGACTGAGCCTCATTCTCCTCCCGAAATCTGGGCCTGGCACGCCTTTGTGCAGACACCCCTGCCTGGGATGTGGGACTGGACTGTTGCGATGCACATGTGACCATCAGGGTGCTGATGGCGACGGAGTGTGGTTGTGTTGTCGAGGCCATGTCTGTGTCTCCTGGGAGGAGGTCCATGTCTGTGACCCCGGGCTTTGCAGACAGAGTTCATGGGGCTGGAGCTTGTGTAGCTGCCCCTCCCCCTTGCAGAGCCTACCCCCCTCCCCAGCTTCCCCTCCGGCTCAGAGACCCCCCACAGCGAGGGCCCCATCTGCTGGAGGCTCGGTGACCTGTGTCAAATGAGCAGGCGCTCGGTCACACTCCAGAGCCTGGAGGAGGCCTCCCTGCTATGGGAAAGCTGAGCAGCTCCTGCCTGGGGGCGGGCTGGGCAGGGGCCCCGCTGGGGAGGGAGGCCAGGGAGCCTGAGACCCGCAGCAGCCTGACTGGGAGCTGCCCTCCGCAGACCAGGAGAACGGGGGAAAATATGAAAAGAAAGGACTTCCAATGCTGTTTCCTTGGGACTAACACTGCGGCCAAGGGCATGGACCAAACTCTGAGCTGAACACAGCCCCCTTCCTGCTTTCTGATCCTTTGAGCAGATCTGTTGGTTCCTTGAGGATATGGTTGTGGATGGCTGTGTGTCTTTGGGAGGTATGGGGGTGTGTGTCTTTGTTTGTGTCTGTGTGTGGGAGGGTGTGTGTGCCTGGCCTTGTTTGTGTTTTTTGTGTGGCTAGGTGTGTGTGTTTGTTTGGGTGACTCTGCCTGCTTGCTGGGTGTGTGTCTGTTTGTTTGTTTGTTTGTGTGGCTGGCTGTTTGTTCTCAGTGTCAGTGAAAGAGTGCCTAAGTATAGGCCTATTTCAGTTATGTGCGTGTTCTGTTTGTCCCCATTTAGACACATGCCTGTGTTTATTGTTAGACGTTGCTTTATATCATTCTGAATATTTGGCCTAATGACACAAGTCCATGTGTTCCTAATGTGAATCAGTATGTTTGCCCTTGTGCTAAAATGTGCATCTGTATCTGTGTGTCAAGTGTGTAAACGTGTGTGAATGCCCATCAGTTGGCAAGGTCCTCACCACTCTGTGTGAGTGCCTGACTTCCATGGGTACACCTGCAGCTTCGTAGTGTGGTATGAGGAAAAGTTCTCCCCAGGGTCTGTGAAGGTGGTGCTCCTGGAGAGAGGGGCTGTTGGGTTGTGCAGGTGTCTGCCAGTGGCAGTGTCACAACCCCCAGTATCCCACACAGAATCTCTAGGAACAAGACTGAAGAGGATGCTCAGACATTTTAAGATAGAAAAAGTGAGCCTCTGAGAGGTAAGGTAATTCACACCAAGTCGCAGGCTGCTAATGGGAGTGATGGAACTTGGGCTGGTTACCTAGAAGCCTGGCTACTGCTTTGCTGCAGACTCCCCTCAATTCAGCACAGACCTGAGAAGCCAGCTTCCAGAGTGCCAGCTGGCCTTGACCTACCCCTGAGAACTGCCAGAAATAGGGCTGAGGGCTCTCTTTGGCCTCATGGCCAAAGCTGCTGCCTCCACAGGCACCCCCCCCCATTCCACAGCAAGCAGGAAAGTAATGACAGGGAACACATGGGTCTTGCGCCCCTGGGCAAATCTCAGCTCCCTATCTATGCACTGAGGGTAATAATCTCAGTGCTCTCACAGGACTAAGAGGCACAAAAGTGCTTTCTAAAGCACCATGCCCACTGGTCACTGTTTTCCAAGCTTCACTGGCAACTCCAAAAGCCTGGACATCATGATACCCACATCCAGATATTTCCCATCCTCCAATAGGAACTGGGGCTGATTTACAAAATCACTGACCATCAGAGGTAGAAGGACATGGGAAGTCAGATAGTCCAAACTTCCATCATGCCAATCTACAGATGAGGAAATTGAATTTTAGTTAGAGATGGGAGTACCTTGCTCACCCACCAGGAATGAACAATAGGAACAAACAGAGTAAGAGCACTTTCTGAGAGATTTTTACTCCCTTTGTCTCACAATCTGCTTACTTAGTGAGACAGTTGGGCTGCCCATAATACCGCTATTCCCAATTTACAGGAAGAAAATTGAAGGACCAGAGTGAATGTACCAGAGTCATACTTGCCCAGAAAGAGTGGCAGTTTCAGGTTGAAAATCTAAGTTTCAGTGTCATACAGGCCTACTTAGGGCTGGCACGAGAGGAGACTTCACTTAAGGACTCTGGCCTTGATCCTGCCTCCTGGATCTGGGAGAAAGCCCAGGGAGCCCAGTAGGCCAGGAAGACCTGGGCTGCCTCAAGGTGACACTTCCTGGGCCAGAGTCCAGGAAAACCCAGTGTCCTTAGCTGCGTTCACAACTGCTGATCTAGAATGGGACCTAAAGGATGTTGTTCAGGACACTGACCACTGGCCAGACAAGAACCATGCCCTGTTCCACTCCTTCCCTTGGGGTAGAGGAATAGCCAAAGGCTGGATTTGGGACATTCAGAGCCCAGATGAGCACATTCTATGCCTAGGGTAACCCTTGTCACTGTCAACTGTCCCAGCCACCCTTGAATCACCTCCACAGCAGTGGTCACCCCAAGTCCCCATTATACACCTTTCTTCTTTCACACACTGAGGCTTCATTCCACAGGACTGACTTTCCCAATAGGGCCCTAGGTAGGCACTTAGCTCAGCCCTGTGATTGGAAATGGCAGGGTCCTGAAATGTATTAATCCATTAGAGGTTAAGATCGGGAACAGAAAAGGGGGATTGGCAGTGAAAAAGTCTCCCTGGGACTCAAGGCTAGATGTAGGAAGTGGTGGAAGTTACAGCTCAGGACATTTAGGGTGGGGCCCAAAGTGGGGTAAGGAGGCACAACTGAAGTCCTACTCCTCTCAGGATCCTCCAAAGAGTTCCAAGTGTGAGGAAGTGGCGGAATTCCACTGCCCACCTTTTCAACAGGGACTTCTCAACCTCAGTTCCCTTTTCAGCAGCCCCAGGCAAGTCTGGGTAAACTCCAAGACTCCACGCGAAGCTGGACAGCTCCCAGCCTGTGTTCCGGATTTCTGAAGTGCCAGCTACCCTTCCCTGAGTCTACACCATTCCTTTCCTAGAGCAAGTCTCCCCAGGGTGTTATCCCTCCGTGATCATCGCCTATGAGCTGTTCAAGCTGGAAGGAGATGGAGTGAGAAGGCTACAGCAGCGCAAAACTGGGCCCAGGGTCCATCACCCCGCAGGTGGCGTTTTTCCCGGAGCCACAGTCTCCACCTCAGGGTCCTCTCATTCTCAAACCCCAGAACACGGCCGAGTTACAGGAGCTCGCGTCTCAGCACATAACCGCTGCCGCCCGCTGTCCTGGTGCGGAGCCTCCCGCGCCTTACTCACCTGGCTTCGGCGTCCGGGAGCAGGAAGGGGTGCCCGCGCAGGGCATGAAGCTCAGGCCATCCGACTCTGCGCTCTCTGTCAGGGCCGCAGAGGTCCGCGATGAGTCTAGAGAGAGAAGAGGGAAAACGAGACAGGCCAGGCAGGCATTCGGAGGAGCGCTCGGTGAAAACTGGAAGCCGCGGGAGGCGAGGCGACAGAGGTGAGCAGCCGCGCGGGAACAGAGCCGGAACCCGCGCCGCCTCGCGCTCGCCGCCGCGGAGACCCGCGGGAATCCTAGCCCGCAGGCAGCCGCACTGAGGAGGGAGGAAGTGAGGGGCTGAGTCGCTTCTTGGAGCCCGAGCGCCTCCCGGAGCCCGCAGTCCCCGCCGCCCGGGTGGGATGCGGACAGGAATTCAGCTTGCGTGGAATATGGGGCCGGTCGGGCTCCGAGTCTCCAGCACTGGGGGAAAGCGGGGCCCACGCAGCTAGGACCAGAGGGGGTGCGGTCCCAGTGCCACCCCCGCGCCACTCCCCACGTGGCGGCCGCGCCCCCGGGGCGTGAATGTGTACGCGGACGGTAGGGGGGCTGTGAATGAAGCCCCAGCGGCCAATCAGCACGGCCG